TACGGGTTAATTTACTGAAAATTGTTTTTCTAAATCCATTTTCTTACGTCTAGTATCAGTCTGTTCTTGTAGATTGCTGAAAATATAATGATTTACCGAGGTAGCAACGTATGGTTAATACTCAACTGTTCATAAGTGCGATCCCCAACATGTTTCAAATCTATTTATAATTTTTCTGTAACATGTAATGGGTGGTATGAATATCATCCAAACGACGAATCACCGTCCACAGATGAAAAAGCCGTGAAGTTTAATTTCATTTTTTTTTTCAGACTTTTGATTTCCAAAATATCCAAAGTCAAAACAGATCGATAATGCATCTTGTTTGGATGTTATATAACTTTATTTTACCTACCATTAAGTATTTAAAAAATCTTCTACTAGCAAAACGTAATCTAAGAGAAACTTAAGTCAAAAGCTACATAAAACAAAGCATACATAATTAAACATAACACAAGTCTAGCTTTAAACAAGACGCTCGTTGTAATGATTTGTGGCCACAGTTCCCCATTGTGCGCGAAGACAGTATTAATGTTGTTCTTGAATTGTTTACGAAGACAGCCACAAAGCTATTGAACGTCTAGGTGTGGTAATCTTAACGAGATGCTCAAATTGTCATTATCAGTACTAACTATCTGCTAGCTATAGCAGTGTGACCCATTTTTTAAAAGAGAAAGAGAGTCAGAGAGAGACAGAGATGATGACACCCATAATCCACAGACTAAAAACCAGTAGCATAGCTAGATGGACAAAAAAAGAAAGAATCTATAAGATTAAAGGTTTGAGGTTCCCTAAGTCCCAGGGTCCTGCAGCACAACCTGGCTCTACAATAGCTACGCCACTACCTGAAACCGAAACTCGATTAAACTTCACAGATTCTTCCTCTGTGGACGGAGGTTCGTGGCCCAGACGGAATATTAATATTTCTACTCATTTCGTAACCAGATTTTCCTGACAAAGTTACATGTTTCAGAAAAAATATAAAATGATTAGAAACATGTTGGGCCGGTGGGGAACGATGTTTTTATATTATAGCAATACATTGCTACCATTAGGCTCACAGAATTACCTGCCTTTTATAGGACATAAGCAGACTGTTTATCGAAAAATTAGTAGCAGACTTATATGCCCTAATCGACTAAAAGCATTTATTACTTTCAATGCTTCCATGGCTTAATGTGCAACGGTTTGCATAGCGATTTTGTAATTCAGAATTCAGAGCAAGTATTCTGATCGATTTGCCCGTAAAAGAATATCAACGAAATAGACATTTATTACGTCCTAAATAAACAATACGCTTATTCCGTTTGACATAAAAGAGTTTGAGTGTTTTGCATTGAATAAGTAATCTGTAGTAGAAACCTGTAGATACAATGCTCTTCGAATTTGAATCTGTGGTCATATAGGTAAGCTAGATGCAATACAGAATATACTCTGTAGTCTGTGCATCCGGGCAGAACATCGCGACGCGGTATCAACATAAATCCAACGTGATTTATTTTTATTCCGTTGGCTGCTGAGTTTCTGCATCCGAATGACTCCTACTGCAGTATTGTTTATACTTTTAAGGTCTTATTAAGATAGATGGACGACAACACTACTCATGTTTATTCTACACATTGCACTTAAAACAGTAATAAAAAACGGAGCAAGTTCGGAGACTACGTACACAAATTTCATATTGTAACCATTTTTATTTGTGTCTATTTTGCCAGTATTTCTCGGGTCACCAATTTACCTGTCTTAGTGGCAAGGAGTGAAATTGGACTCATGATGTAATTTAGTCTCATTATTAATATAAAAGGTGAAGCGTATATACAGAAATGGTGAAGGTGAATAGACTTAATCAACAGAGTGGCTACATCTATCTATACGAATCTATTAAGCTGAAAAGTTTGTTTGTTAGTTTGAACGCGCTAATCTCAGGAGCTATTGGTGCGAATTAACAATATGTTTGTGTAGTTAGAGCATTTATCGATGAAGGCTTTAGGCTATACATCACGCTATAATCAATAGGAGCGAAGTAACTGTGGGAAATGTATAACAAACGGGAAAATTTATTCTTTTTTGTGAGTAACCGTTGCGTACGCTCCGAAAACGTTGTTAAAATATGTATGAAAGAATGATTCCCTTTTTAAATGATCTAAACATTGTCCGTGAGACTGTATGTCTATGTTTTTAGATTAACTTGTAAAAACCTTTTTTATAGTAAGTAATCAAATTTGCTCGAAATGGATAGTTGTACGAACGTTATAATATTAATCGTACAAACAACAAACTACATTTGCCGGATCATCTAGTTAATTTATAACATATTATGCCTTCACTTTTAAGTATTAAAATAAAAACAATCTATATAGCACAGCATCAACATTGAAATTCAAATCACGTTCACGACCTTTCTTCCCCATCTCGAATCGACCGGAAATTGAAGTTCGGACACCCGCTTGACCCGGATCCATCGCAAAAATGACAGCTGTCAAAATCTTTCCCGCCATTTACTTATCCATTAGTATCAATGCGAAAGCACTACGCGTCTATGGTGAGCTTTTCCCTCCATTTTTAATATTGATTTTATCACTGTAAAAAAACGTTGTCTGTATGTTGCCAGTTTTTAACCTTGTTTTATGTGTGAGAGGACAGAAAAGCCTGAGGTTTACTTGATGGTAGGTGAAATACAACATGCGCTATCGACCTATTTTAGCTTTGGATGTTTGGAAAACCACAGACTAAAACCGAAACACGATTAAACGGCTTTTTCATCTGTGGACGGAGGTTCGTGACCCGGACGGAATTTCTATATTCCTACTTCCCATTTGAATATTCTGATTTCCAGATGGAGTACAACATGTTTAAGAAAAATTATAAATTATAAAAGCTTATGTTGGACCTGGGAGGCCCATGAGTTGGTATAGCCATACTCCACCAGAGAGCCCATCAGAAAAACCTTTCATTAATAAGATATTATATAGTCTGTGCAAATCAGTCTTTTTCTAATTAAAACTATAATACGTTTTTCCATTAATTATAAAAAAAAATGTAGAACGAATCTTTACTATAAAATAATAGCTATAAGATTCAATTCATGACCTATGAGGTCAGATGCGATGGAAGGAGATAAGGTATAAACTAGACGTTAGAAATATGGCGTACGGCTATCACGAGTATAATATTACCAATAATAGTTGTGTATTTCCCTGGATATAACACGCGCTGATTTAGAATGGATGAGCGCTGAAATATGTTAAATTGTTTAAACGTAAATTATAACATAAAAAACAAACGCAGACATTAAATAAGTAAGACTAAATTATATATTAGCCTCGTGGTTACGAGAATCGTCGGGCTATAGCTAAAATCAATTGTAATTAAATAATATATTATAGGCATTTATTCTACTAGCACCAATATACATTTAAAATATTATTAGTGTACAAAATACTTACTTTATGTTAGTTGTCTAAAGAATAAATAAATTAAAAAGTATATCATACGATACACAATCTTTGCCAAAGTCTTCTCTTTTATGATCTTTTTTATTCTGTGGCCACAAAGAAACACTTGATATTACTTGAGTTCGAACGAAGGTTTAGAAAAATTAAATAAATTAAATCATGAATTTATTTAATTTTTCTAAACCTCATCTTCATTTCTCATATCTAGTATAAATACGTACATATTTTACGCATTAATGATAAATATAACATATTATGTTGATTGAAAGCTGTTTGAAGTTTTACTAAACTTACTGCTTACAACTGAAAGAAGTCCTCTTATATGCTTGCAGAACATGGCCTCTATCTGAATTCTTGCTATCAGTTGTTTTTTTAATCCTTCTACATCAGCCAAAATACATGAGAGCAATAAGTTTTTATTTATTTATTTACAGCTTTATATTTATAACACATACCACAGCACGAAACTATAAAAAAAATCTTATATATTAATTGACTATATATATAAATTAAAATTATAAATAAAAAGCTGCCTTACTAAGCAGCTACGACTTCCAGGCATTTTACAATAATTTTATAATAACTATCTCAACAATCTATCAATCTACGAATAAAATTACGTAAATAAACACAAACCGCGCGGCGGCGCAGCCTCAACAAACCAGAGGGGCTTTAATCCGAAAGCGGTCATACTTATTCTCACGATAAGGTGATAGTTATATTAACGAGATCGATAAATAACGAAAGTACCAGTTCCATAGTTAGCGATCGTGCTTGTAATGAAGACATAGTGCGCCACGCCCCCTCTAAGCGGGTAATTGAGTCATTATGGGGCGCGCGCGCATGCTCTCTCGATATCAGTGATCGAGGGCCGATACAGCCTCAGGTATTTCGAAATAGACGATTTTTCCTGCGATAAACTGCTAGACTTTAAATTTTAGATAGGCAACCCTGACTATTTATAATTGTAGAGTGTGGTAACCCTTATCGGGAACAACTTAGATACTAGTCTTAATGTACAACCCTTATGATAGGTACTCTATAAAGTATAGACTATGTATATAGTACAATGTTAATACTTTATGTAAAAATTTCTTTACTCACTTAGGTATCCGCTCAATTCGATTCTGATTCTGTCCTTTGCGCGTACGCAAAAAATAGCTTTGATCTTAAATAGTGAACGTTTCTTTCTGGAGTATGGAGCGAACACATTTCTGTGTCCGTTACTATCGTCGGTTTTCTTTACAGGCAAGTAGTTGACCAGAAGTGTCCTGCCCTGAAAGCAATCGTTTCTCTAGAATTTATTCCCAGGTCTTCCTCCCCTACTCTAGTCCAGCCAGGTCAGGTCCTGTAGTCTACATAAATAAAAATAGTTTTATCGCACCGTGCACCCTTTTTACATCGATACATTTGACTTTTATTGTGTCAAACGATGACATTTGATCTTAAATGACGATAAGTTTAAATTAAATCTAAGTATTTATTACTATATATAATAGGATTACAGTTACATATATATTTGTAAGGATTGTCACAGTTTGAACAATGCCTAGACACGAAAAACACAAAGACCGAGGTTAGCTTTTGTTGATTTATTTTTAGACACGTTATAGTCATTATGTCCACAAGAATCGACCAATGTTAATAATTACATGTTTTCACAAAATTAATAATTAATGCTTAATTATAAAAAAGTACTAATTACTTGTATATTGTTTTTTCGTGGTCTACCTATTTCCTATGCCTGAACATATTAAAACGCGAGGATCGAAATTAGTTTAGATTTTTAATAAATATTATAATATTTTAAACACTTTAACGGTTTAAAACACTAAATACATTAGTTAAACTTACGATGGCGTAGCGATTTTAGTTTGACATTAGAGACACCGTCTGGTCTCCCGTGACCACGGCATTTGCAAAGCATCCGAATTATATCATTCGAATCATCATCCGAATCCGTTTATATATTATTTAGGTATAATTTGAATACTCACAGGTTATAAAAGCTACAACCCCGATGATTTTTCCTACTGGGACCCTTACTATGTAGATTCCGACGCAGCGCAAAAATATAAACGAGATATCGACTATGACGTCGACAACCCGTACCTCAGGGGAACTACGACGGAGAGTAGCGCTGGCGCAGAGGATCCGGACCCTGAATTCATTCCGGCCCTGGCGCTGACTGGAGTATTTGGTGCTGCGTTCCTAATACTTCCGTTTTTGGTTAAAAAGGGACCAAATAGAGGGTAACAATAATTATAGCTAATAGGGATAAGCAAACAGGGCAATGTAAGATTGACCGGCGCGTCGGCCTAATGGTAGCAATGTATGGCTCATAATCAACGAGTCATAGCTTCGATTGTAACGTGTTTCAAATTGTGTTTATTATATCTATTCGAAATCTATACTAATATTATAAAGCTAGAGAGCTTGTTTGATCAAGCTAATTTTGAGAACTACTGGTTCGAATTGAAAAAAAATTGTCTAGTTTGGACCAGTGATCCAGAAAGGATTTAGGTTATAACACTCAAGACATCAAACCGCGAAAAATGGAAATATTCGTCTTTCAGAGCTGTAAAATGTAGTACATACTACAGTAAAACCATTTGCCAGATCAGCTAGTATTTGTATAAGCCGCCGGATAGTGTACGTATGTTCCTGAGAATTCAAATTCTTAAGCAGTAATTTTTAATTATTATTTTTTCAGAATAGTTCAGTGCTGCATCATGTTGACAGTGTTTTGCATGTGGATATTGTGAGTATATGAACGACATTGAGTAGTAGAAAAAAAACGAAATTTTAACTTGTGCGGTATTCAGTAACCTGTAACGTTAGTATCATTTTGTTAACTCGCTTTTCATCAATACATATTTCAAATGGAAGGGACCCCTTCGTTAAGTAACCCTTTATAGCGTTAATTTAGCTACAATATTTATCTTTTAAGTTATTACTACTGTCGGGCGCCCTGATATAATAATGAGCATTTATTTCTTGCCTTTTACATTATTTTTGATACATTTTAAACAGATATTTGTTAGTACCTAAGCTTAGGATATGTTAGTAATTTAAACTTATGTATATATATTATTCAAAAAACTTAGAAATTAGCAAGAACCCCGGTATATGCCTCCTCCAAAGATAACCATTTATCTCGGTCTCGTGCTATTTAGCACCAGTCTATGCCAGCAGTTCTTTTTAAGTCGTCTTCCCAGTGTGTTAGGGATTTCCCCCTTCTCCTCTTACCCGGAGGTGCCTTCCACTGGGTAACCCTTGAAGCCCACCTTTTGCTAGGCATTTCAGTTTTTCAGCCAAGGTCGATGCATTTGTAGTTTTAGTGATATCTCTTATTTTTGCCCTGAGATACATACGCCAAATCTACGGCTGTATGACGGTGTAAAGCTATGTACGGCTAATAACCAACGGTTAGATCCCTTCCATGTCCAATATGTTTCTAATTTTTACATGGTGGACTTCGTCTGGAAATCTGGATACTAAACGGGTGGTAGGAGTATCGAAATTCCGTCCGGGTCACCAACGAAAAAGCCGCGAAGTTTGATCACGTTTCGATTTCAGTCTGTGGATTTCCGAATGTTAAAAGCCAAAATAGGACGACAGCGCATTTTGCTTAAATGCTATAGGCTGCGGTATTTCACCTACCATCAATATGTTATGTCTGTATTGTAATTTATGTTATTCTGTTTTAGTTGGGTGACAATATACATTGGACAAATGAATCCACTTATGGGTCCACGACTGGAAAATACGACGGTAGCTTGGATAGCCCATAAATTGGTAACTACATACTCAAAATACATCTTTTCCAAGCTTAATACGAAAAAAACTTAACGTCGCTATGTTATATATAAATCTTGTATTAAGTATAATAATTACTTTCTAAAGTTAAATAATTTCAACCTCCTTCGGCTACATGAAAGTCCATTAAAAGTGGTTGCAAAAATTACATTTGTATTTTTCTTCATCTATTTTAAGTTTTGGGTCTTAATATAATTCAAGAAAGAGGACTTTTGTTTTCAGTACCATTCTCATTGTGTATAACTTTTCCAGGGAAATGCCGTCGCAAGATCCGGGGGTTCGAATAGTTCATCGTAACAACTACATATTGCAGTTTCTATTTCCTAGAAGATAAATTCCTATTAAATAAAGCATTAGTAAGTATATATTTTTTATTCAGAAAGAACACGTTACAAAATCAAAGTCTCTAAACGTCGTCATAATCAATGGCTGTACAGCACCTTGCGGGCCCTGATCTCCTCTAAAACTCCATCCCACCAGCGGAGTCTCGGTCTTGCGTTTGATCTTGCGTCTGCAAGCAAAAGAGTGCGTCGTATTTAAAAAAGTGTTAAAATATAAATCATGACACTAGTATCTTTGACATAAACATTATTTGTACCAATAAAAAAAAGAGCTACTAATATATCTCCCTGCTACACACAATGTTTTTGCAGCGGTTACAAATAAGTAGCTCCTCATAAACGGCATTAACAAAGTGCTAACAAGTTGATCCTCGATGCAATGAAAAGACCGACAGCGCATTGTAGTCGCGCGCCCCCAAAACAAATCCGACGATATCGCTAAAGATCAAAATAACATTTGTTGCGAAATCATTTATCAACGCTGATTCTCTTTCCATTTGCCGTCCCCCAACGATGCTGGTGGAATCACCCGGCAATTTTACAAGGGACTGTCCATAGTAAGAGCGATTCAATCAAAGCGTTCGTTGTCCACAGATCGATGATGTGATTGCATATAAGTAAGATTTATTGTCAAATTCAAACATTTTAGCACAAATTAAATTAATATATATATAATATATATATATATATATATATATATAATTATAATTTTAGCAAATGATAGAAAGAATTTAAAATTGAAAAATATTATGATGATAAGTTCCATCGAGTGTCCTCCTCTGTCATACGAAATATGAATAAGTATTTAATAATGTACTAAGATGAAGTTATTACACCGCTGGTCGCTTATCGCTCCGCTCATGTATGTGTCCACAGCGCACTTCAAAAATCAAATGCATTTCAGGGGAATAGTCTTTGTGGGGAGATCATCATTAATTCTTGTTGGTGACGACGTTTAGATTAAAATTTAATATCTGTATTCATGTGCACTTGTCACGAATTTGCAATAGTATCGAAATGAAATATTCATACCAATTAATGGATAAAAAAACACCAATTAATAAAACGTATATAAAACAACAACAACAAAACATCACTCCTATTACGAAGTAAGATATTTTGTGGCCTCAACAAGCTACACATGGCTGAAAACATAAATAAACGCCATAGAGACTGAAGTCTATACTAAATTATTCCAATAATATAATTCGATTCATCGATGTATTCGATCACTCAATCCCAAACCAGCACATCACTAATCCCATAATAAAATACGTGTAATCCAAGCTCATCCCTAACTTTAACTCAATCGTCGCGTTTTCGATCTATTTTTTGCCCTAATGCCAAATTCGCGCCATATTGCGGCCTACCCCATCTAAATGATAATTCGAGGACCCTTCTTACAATAAAAATTATTGCGGCCAGTTTATTTTATTACGCTTCGTATTGTATTCAAATACCTACGCACAATCGAATTTGTGTACCGTACTATCGTTTGAAATATAAACTCTATGGTCTAGTAGAAAAGAAAAATAAACTAGCACACAAATAGACGATGGCGCCTTATTTTATTTTCCCGCCCTCCGCGTTTCAGCGAATCCTTTTTTCCCGCGTATTGGAATCGTGTTGTTTTAAATGGAATTGCCTTTTTTGTTTGGATTTTATGAATTTTAACTGAATACGTAGAAACGCTGATCAACCGTTGATAGGGAAGTGAGATCGATATGCAATAACGCAGAGTAAATTTAGATTTTGATTTACACGTTATTAGTAATTAACGTATATAAGGTCACAGCATAGAGTATACCAATATATTTTTACTTTATCTACAATTTTAAGTCAATAAATACAAAAGTTTGGAATACTATAGAGATATATATTTATTTATTCATTCTTTATAGCACCTTAAGTGCTATTGATAAATTTGTAAGGTTTTGTTGCTAACCGGTGTTAGCTTTTTTATTTCACGGTTGAAATAACATCTAGACGATCTTTTATACCGAAAAAAATCTCTTGCTCCTACTAGATTTAGTTGATGCAACGAAAAGACATCTCATTTCCATCAAAAAGTAAATGAAACCAATCAAGTAGTAATCAAAATTACAAAAAAGAGTTTTTTACCGTAAAACTGACTTAATTTACACTTATTTCGTAAAATCCATACCAACGTATTTATTATTTTTGATAACACTACGATTTACTGTCCAACTAACTGTACGCGATATTGAGATACAAATTTAAGTCAACCATAGTTTTTAAAGACTGTATAGTTCATTATTTAAATATAACTAAAGTACCAGGCCGCATCTAGTCATCTATACGTAGAGAATTACCGTACTCCATATTCGTCGAACACAAGAAAAAGTTAATATGGCGCTAAACACCTTGATTCTCGAATCGCGCACTCATTTCCGTTAACCGCATAGTAAATAGTTATAATTACCTAGCAGATGTATTTGCCTTGCAGTCATCAAGCAAGACAAAGCTAGCCACCCCGCTCTTATCTCCCTCCAAGATCGCAATCAGTGCCGCCATATTCGAAGCCATTATGAATCAAATTCCCGCCTTTTTACTTTTTCCATTCGCTAGGCAGCGGCGTCAGATCTCACAGACGATAAGCGTTTTATTATCCTGGATGATTTTTTAATCTGTGCACCTACTGACGTCGGATTTCACACATTCATTATTGTCTCATAACTGTTTTGAAGAACAATGGTGACATCTGTGGGGACAGATCGGATTGTCTTAATAATCACACATTTGATTGTAATCGCTTTTTTTACATAAATATTTACGAAATAAACCGTTTTTAGATACTGTATATAGTTAAAGCGAAGTAATACACATTTAAATATTGTACACTTTAAACGAGAACTGTAAAAGGCCGTAACCATGTCTGCAGCAAAGCATCCGAAACATCGGATCGCAGTTTCATCTAAAGTTTAACAAAGTATATAAAGTATTACATAAACCTCTTTTAGGTTAAATTAAATCGATCCTAGTCTTAATTATAAAAATATAATATGAAAACGTTTCAATTTTCAAGATATTTTCTGATAATCATTAGAAGGAATAAATACTGCTTACCTATATAAA